ACAGAGGAACAGAGGGGCGGGGGAGAGCAGCAACGAGGAGCGCACAAAATCAGAAGGAGTTATTCAGGACCAATGTATTTTCTTGAATCCTAGCACAGACAAAGGCCAAGATGACAAGTAGAGTCAATTCTTACCAGAATAGGACTCTCATGAGCCCTAAGTGAAGTTATCACAGTTCTCATCCAATGGAAAAGGGAATAAATGGGGACATGATGGCGGTGCCCACACCACTGAGACTCAGCATGAAGACCATTTTCATCAGGCTTTGACATTAGCCCTCATGATATTTATGATTTCTCTCACCCAAACAACTTCATCTACAACAGGAATTCAAACATCTGTTAAAAGGATGTTATTAACCAGCAGCAACATTTATTAAGTACTAGGCATAGAAAAGAGCTCCTCACATATATTAGATATTATTTAATTCTGCTTAGATAAGGAAACCTAAAATCCAATGACTGAAATATTTTGCCCAGTACCTCACAATGTGTGAATGATTGGGTCAGAAGTAAAATCCAATTCTATCCAACACTTCTTCCACTCCTTCATACTGAATGATCCCTCCAAGATGCTAAAGGGTCTTTCAAGAGGTCTTCCAAGGCCTCTCCCATGCTCTAATGCTTGCATGAAATTTCTTTATGAAAAGCAGACTACCTCTTGAAATACATAAAAGTAATGATATTACTTGGAAGACAGAATTAAATATGTTATTTTTATATTTCTTACTTATGGAAAGAAACAGCAGGAGTTGTATAAAGAGATGAGTAAAAGGAGGGTGGGAAAATAGAGACTGGGAGCATCTCGGATTCCTCACTCCAGTAGCTTTACAATTTTGCCTAAGGCCAACCCAGAATTATCAACTCCAAATATCCAAGAAATAGGACTTATCTCAAAAAACCAGCAGCATTCATTAAATATAGATGTGAGAAGGAAAACCCAAGTCCTATTTGCCCAAGGCAAAAACGTGAAGAAAATAATATAAGACTTTTTTCCCCCCTTTGACCTGTGACATAATGCTGGATGCATGCATTTTGGCTTCCAAGAACTTAAGGTCATTATGTTGAATTTTATCACTGTAAGTAGCTAATGTGAATTATTCAAACCAACCATCCTCTTCATTTCCAATTCTTGGTAGAAAACAAAACTAAACTCTAGTAGTTCTTTTTGGACTAAGACCTACCACACACTGTCTATGTGAGAATAAAATCTATTCTCTCTACATCTTAGTTTTTTAATGTTTTTATCAGTGCATTAGAGTTATACATAATAGTTGGATTCATTTTGACAGAATCATACACGCATGGTTAGTTTTCATAATAGTACTATTGTCATTAACTGACTTTGTAAAAATAGTAATAGAAAAATATCTCACACATAGTAAGCATTCAAATGCTAATTGTCATCACTCTGGCCCCTAGAAAGTTCCATGAAAGAGAGATGTTAGTCTATTTGATATGTTTGTTACTATATCCCTTTGAGCCTATAAAGTGTCTATACTGTAAGAGGTGTCAATGGGTGAATTTTTTTAATGAAAGAAAGGAAATATTTTTTGCTTAAGACTTCTAACAGCATAACTAAAACTGAAGTTGCCTTTGTAATTATCTAGTCAGTCCAAAGCTTCTACTCTCTACCAGATCACTGAATACTGCTTTATATTCCTCTGGGGTAATAATTCTCTGTTTTCATAATTAGAAGTGTTTAAGGCAGTTGTGGCCCACCTCCTCATTTACCCTCTTGATACTTATCTCTCCCATCTGTTCATCAAGTTGATTGTATCAGGGCCATCTCTAGGGAATGCAAAAACCCTTTGCATTTGGGGTTCTAATTTTTATGAGGAGAATGCTGGAAGTACTATCATATTAATTAATGAAGATGAGGTCATCATCATTACTTGCATTATGAATCCCTCTCTTCCTGACTGGCCAGGTGTTTGATGGGCACTCATCCTACTGCTCAAACCCCCTTGTCGAGAAACTCCTGTAATGAATGCAAATGTGACTTTACCTGCCTCATGGGGTATTATGGCAGGCAATTAGCAAATGTTCCTAAGGTTCTTGGAAAGACATAATGGCACTATATGAATGTTACTGATTATTACATTATGAAGCTTAAAATCATAATCACCCCTTAGATGGATTCACGGGAAAGGTAACAGAAACTTTCTCAAACAAAGCTTCCTTTCAGAGGAATATCAAAATAGGCATTGCTTTCCAGTGGTGAATGAATTGATAGCAGATTTTTTTTGCTCCTTACCTTACATACTTTAAGTATAAAAATAGTAAGAAGCTACACCGTTGGGACTGAGCATGGAGAAAGAAATATTAATACAATCAATAAATTTGAACCATTCCCAATTCAGAATGAAACTGCAGAGAAAAACTGAGAGGTCTGGGTTGGGGATGTAGTTCAGTGATAAAGCACTTGCTTAGCATGTAAAAGGCCCTAGGTTCAATTCCCAGTACTGGGGGAAAAAAATTGAAAGGCCTGCCTTAGAAATGGGTTACCACTCCAGGGTGCCACAACACAATTTTTATTCAAGTGCCAAACAACACAACCTAGAAGGCAGGGTGGACATTAGTGAAGACCATGTATTCTCATGCCGATTGCTACCAAATTTATACTTCCAGTCCGAGCCACTTGTTGCTCTCAGCCTACTTGTTTTCTCTATGTAGACATCAAACAGGCTTCTCAAAATCAATGTGTCCAAAACTCAATGTGTCCTCCTCCAAAACCTACCACCACCAGCTGCCCATTATCTCTCAGTAGCAGCAATTCCATCCTTGCAGTTGCAACAGCAAGAACCCTGGACTCCTTTGTGATGATTTTGATATGAACTATCCCCCCAATGCTTCAAGAAAGGTAAATGATTAGATTATGAGAGCCATAACCTGTTCAATGGATTGATCCATTTGTTGGGCTAATTACTTAAAAGGACTACTGTATCGGGTGGTAACTGTAGGCAGGTTGGGCATGGTTGGAGGAGGTGGGTCACTGGGGGCATGCCCTTGAGGATTATATCTTGTCCCCCTGGTTCCTCCTCTCTCTCTGCTTCCCAGGTGCCCTGAGAAGAGAAGCTTTCCTCCCCCAAACTCTCCACTGTGATGTTCTGTCTCACCTTGGGTCCAGAGAAATGGAGCCAGCAGACCTTGGATTAAACTTCTGAAGCTGTGAGCCAAAGTAAATTGTTCTTTTTCTAAGTTGTTCATCTTGGGTATTTTGGTCACAGCGGAGAAAAGCAGACTAACACATCCTCCTTACCTCTTTTCTTTATCTTACATTCCTTATCCAAACCAGCAGTGAAACCTGCTAGCTCTCTTTTCAGAACATCCAGAATTCCTGACTACTTTTCTATAGTGCTACTATTCTAGCCCATGGGTTCATCTATGCCTGCCTGGAGCAGAGAAATAGTCCTTAATTCATCTCACGGCTTTATCCCTTACTCCTTATTTATTTATTTACTTTTTGTTTGTTTGTTTGTAGTTGTAGATGGGCAGAAAGCCTTTATTTGTTTATTTTATGTGGTGCTGAGGATCTAACCCAGTGCCTCACACATGCTAGGCAAGCGCTCTACCACTGAGCCATAGCCCCAGTCCTCCCTTGCTCCCTTTTAATGTACTCTTAGAAAACCAAATCCTTACATTCTCTATTCTAAACTAAAGATTCCCCACCTTACTCTTACTAATAACTGAGGAGTCTTTATACGATCTTATAAGAACCTACATGATATGGCCTCTTCCACTCTTTCAGCTTATCCCCTACATCTCGTATTTCCTCTTCCCATTCTAGCCATACTGACTGGCCTCCCAGCTACTCTTAGATTGTGTGAGGCATGCACTTGCCTCAAGGTCTTTGCACTTGCTGCCCACCCCCTTTCTCCAGACATTCACATTAGCATACTCCCTCATACATTTCCAACTTGATAAGAACATCCCAAGTCTTTCTCTTTTCAAAATTTGCAAAACTCACCTCACCCTGACAGTCCCTTTAACCCCTCTCTTAAATTTTTCTTCTTTGTACTCAGCGTTGTGTGACATTTCTTGTCTATTTATTGTCTACCTCCCCCATTTGAACATACTCAACACCAGGCAGTCATTTTTATCAATTCTTTTCCTTTTGTATTCACAGCTCTGTCTCCATATCTGACATATAACAAATACTGAATAAATCTTTAATTTTTTTGCCATTTTATTGGTCCCTTTTATCCCAAGTATCAGAATCATTGCACTAGTTATCTTTGTTAAAGAGCCACATGGCGCCCGTGAGTAAAGATGCCAGAAAAGTGATCGTCTTAATCCCAAATCCTCAAATGTACAACTTCTGGGCATAAAGATATTAAAGTGCAAAGTTAGAATTTGATTTTCTCATTGTTATTAATATTGAACACTAGTCCTCTAATTATAAAATGCAAAGCTGGTTTTCACTCCTGAACCAGGCTGGAGGGGAAGAAATCAAACCAAGATGAGCATTTCATACTCTCGCACCGTCCCCTGGATATAAGAGACAGTTTTGTTCAACAGCTAAAACAATGTTTTTAATGTGTAAATTCTAAAAGAAAATGAAAACTGGCAGCTATTTGATGTTTAACAAAAAAAAAAATTAAGACCTCCTGTTGAGTGATCATTAAGATCTAGAGCTGCTGTAATTCCCTCTAATAAAAAATAATTTATGATTTTCTTGGAGCTGAGAAAATGATGATGCACCTGAGCTTCTGATTTATAAAAAATGCATTTCCAGCTCTTTTATAAAAAAAAAACTGCATTTTTATTCCGGATTTACAGCTCTTCAGTCAAAGTAAATCCTAACAGTAAGTCCTTATGAGAAGGAAAAGACACAGAAGGAAGAAAGATCATCTAAATTACAGGGAGAAAGAAGGAGCCTTCAGGAATTAACTCAGAAGGTCCTCAGATGTGACACAGTGGCCTTCCCAGGACACCAAATCAGCATCTCCCAATTGTCCCATCTTAATTGTGGGTCGTCCTTTTCTTGTTCTGTATTACCTGTCCTCTGATTCTAGAGACTTCCAAGGGCAGGAATCCGTCTGCTTCACCAACATCCTTGCCGTGGCTGTAATAACAAACAGCAAACAATAGGTGCCAATTACAAATTTGTTAAATGAATAAATGCATTAAATACGTTTCTTCTTGCACTATGCCCAAGGAGGAGTTATGATTTCAACCCTCACTACTTAATGAAATAATTTGAACATTTAATATTTGAGGGAAATACATGCTTTTGCAAGGTGGATGTCTTCCACGTAAAAATTAGCACCATATAAAAGAGTCCTCTTAGGTGTAAGCCCATCCCCGCTGCCCTCCCCAACTCCCAGTACAATAAATGAAATGTACATTTCCGTTGGCTTGTATTTGCTGGTGACATTTAGTTTTAATTCAAACCAGTCTTCATAAATTCTGGTACTGTGCACAACATCTTAAATGGCTCTATTCTTTATTCAAAATCATCCCTCTCGCTCCCAGAATTGCAGTAAATAGATCTTTTAAAGGGGAAATAAAACTATTTCAACAACAGACCTATTTCAGCAGTTTTTCAAAAGGTATTTCTTTCATTCCCTTGGCTAGAGTTTTCGTTTTATGCTTGGAAAGTTGTGTTATATATACATGTATTTTAGTCCAAATGGATGTGGTATTTTTTTGTTGTTGCTATTGTTGATTTTGGCTTTTCTATTTTCCACTTCAGTATGTTCACAAAAGCAAAACTACATATTTCTTTTATTCTTCCCTTTGTGAGTCTCCGTTATTGAACCCATGTTCTATTTTAAAGAAAAGAATACTCAGGATACTCTGATTCATATTTTCCCCCAAATGGAAAGAAATCAGATTTACAGATCAAAATATCTATAGCACATGATAATTTCAAATAACCTTTCTTTCTTAATTTTTTTAGTTGTTGATGGACACAATATCTTTATTTATTTATTTTTATGTGATGTAGAGGATCGAACCCAGAGTCTCACACCTGCGAGGCAAGTGTTCTACCACTTAGTTACAGGCCCAGCCCTAACCTTTCATTTTTCTATACAACTTTTTAGAAGTAACTTACACACATGACAACCATTTCAAATGTTTTCTTCCCATATACCCTAAATATCAACAAGCGGTCATCAGAATTATAATCTAGCCAAAGAGAATTTCATGCTATATCCACAAAACAGGGGAGAGATTACCAAAGGGGGAGAGAATAGTTCAAGAACCAGGCTCTTCCTTCTGATCAACATGTCCAGTACCCATAATCCAACTCTCCAGCCCCAAGTCCAACAATGACCTTAAACTCGAGGTGAATGAAGATATAGGAATAAAATAAAGCCATGTAATATTTTGATATATCTCTGAATGAAGTAATTACCAAATATTGTTGCTTTCTTCTGTCTACTTTATATTTCTAACTTTTTTCCACTGACATGTATCACATTAAAAACCAAAGTTTAAAAACATTTAAGAAAATAAATCCTTTTAACAACAAAAAATAAAGTCCACTGATTCAACAATGTTTCCTTGTTTAAACTGTGCATCGTCCCGAATTACCAGATTAACCATATGAACCATAAGAAGAACTGATGCTATCCTGTTCTAAAGGTGACTAATAAGATGTTGACCCCAAGAAGAGTGGTCAGGGAAGGGGACGGACACGTTTATTCAGGACCACAGAACTAGTACTGTGATAACCTCCACCCATGTGAGGTAGGTTTTTTCTTTGTCTCCCCTTTCCTCTTAGAGGCATACAGAGTTACCATGGCTTCCGAGGGATTACATCTATCAGTCAATATGATCAGTGGCTCTTTTTCTAGACAAATCTTTTGATAGATAAACATCAAGTCACATAGCTTTTTGGAAGCATTAGGGGAAAAAGAAAAAGAAAACAAAACAAAACAACAACAACAACAACAAACCTTCACTTTAACACCTGCTTTTCCTCACTTGTATTTATTATTTACTAACACTAAGGGTCAATTTTACCACCTAACACAGTATCAGCTTATATATCTGTTCCTCTTTTCAGTCCCTGTCTATAGCCATCTGTGGCTCACATTGCTGCAACCATGTTAAAAGATCTTGCATTCTGCTGTCTTCGTTTAATTTGTATAGATGAGATTCTTATTTTAAACAATCACGTGTTTTTAATTCAAGGAGAAAAAAAATAACTCTGTGAGGTTTTGACTGGAGATATCTTTCCACCAAGGCATGAACTCTAAAAGTAAATATATCTATTAAAATTAATTACACCAGATTGCCTGAGTAAGGTAAACAGCAAACCCAGGGCCAAGTGCTAAAAACTTGAGAGTCAGTTATCAAGCTATCTAGTAAAAGCCTCCAAAAATCGATAATCCTCCAGCCCTACTTTTATGATGACATTAGAAATAGCATTTAACTTTTTTTATATAAGGAATGATCTCATGGAAAGCTGCCCTATGCTAATCTTTTAAACCTATTACCAACATTTTATGCATCATAATCCTAGCTAAATCAGATTTTATTTATTTATTTATTTATTTAGGTTCTTCCAACAACAGCATTTTCTAACAGGTCCCTGCCAAGCAGTAACACCATTCATTTACTGACTATTGCCTGGGGACTAGCCATGCATGACTCACATTAACAGGATGGGAGTTTACGGGCATGCCCAAGGTCTATGGAACAAATGGAGTAACCCATTATTGGTTCTTCTCCTCTCAGATCTATTTAACATAGATTGTAAAAAGAATTTGGTCTGCTATGCTTTACTCAGTTGCCGGATTCCATTCAGTTCATCTATCCGAAGTCTGTTTTCTCTTTGGACTCAGGTATCATTTATTCTCAGGAGTTTACACATAGAAGGCAATGCACACCTCAAACCATTATCTGAAGAATATTTCTTGATTAGCCTCCTGTTGTTTCTTAATGATTCTGTTGGCATAATTACAAGGAAATTTGATATGCCGAAAAGTTGTTAAGCAGGATATAAATTTGTACCCTAATAACACCAAACATTGCATATTCTCATACAATGGAGGACAGTTGTTTCACAACGGAGCAGTCTGTCAGTTTGCTTTCCTACTATTAAATGCAACAACTATGCTTACTTACAGCTATGCAAACAATTCAATGTGAGACCCTTAATGATGATGAAATAAATGACAGTCTATCCATCCAAGCCATTCAATATGACGGCAGTGGTGTGTATTCTCAAAAGGCACCCAGGACACATTACCAATTAATGTGTGGCCAGTCCATGTGGTATGTGATTTTATTCTACTTTTATACAAGTGTTTGAATGGACCACAGAAAAATGCAGGTTAAAGTCTTATCAGTGACCATCTCTGGATGTAAGATTGCAGGTGACATATTATCTTTTTTTTTTCATCTGCCAATGTTTTCTGTGATGACAAGGACAAATCTGTGTGTTAAAAAGTTTGGGGAACATGTTTTCAGGAGAGAGAGTTGTAATTAGAAGCAAGAGAGACAGAAAAACCAGCTTGTCTTTCGGTGTTATCAGACACATGGATGCAACTTCAGGTAAACAATAACTTCATTTATTTGGGGGGAAAAGTCCAGAATTGAACAATCAGTTTGCAACTTCCAGGACACAGATGGTTAAACCGTAAAAGCCAGAGTGTCTTTGCTGTTCTTTGTCCTGTGCTGCAGACTAGTTCAATTTCCTTACCCACATGTCCTCCATTAATTGCCTTTTCAATGGATTACTAATAAGTTTTTGATGTTAAGCAAACATCAATGCTCCTATTAAAGTGAGACCAAACACTGTGACTATTTGTTTAATAACACAGTCTGAATGAAGGACGAAGTTCAATTAGCACTGGAGCTGATACAGCCTTCATTAGGAAGGAGAGGCAATTAAAAAGTGGAAGGCTGCAGGAGGCACTGATGTGCACATCATGCAGCAAGCGCAAAAGGACACGCGGCACAGAGCTCCTCTGAAAAAAAAAACTGTAACCTGAAGACTTCAGACAGAAAGAAGGATCATTAGCACAAAATTAAGCACCCTAATAGGGTGATCCTTATCCTGCTAGCTCCAGAAGAAATATGAGGCCAAATCACATCATCTAAACAAACTGCAGGGTGTCAGGACAATTGGAAGGAACAGGAATTGCCTGGCAGGTAGAACTTCATTTAGCACAGGGCTTGGTTCATAGACACTGTTCAATGGATACTACCGAGCACTATTTGGGGAGTTAGAGGACCCACCTGTACCATTAACAAACTGTGTGACCTTGAATAAACCACCCAACTTCTATAGACATGTGTTTTCGTTTTGGTAGAAAATTAGGGAAATAAATGAATAAGCTCTTCTAGTAATTAATGACAAATTACTGCTTCTTATCATTGTTATCCCAGTGATCCAGGAGATAATGCAAACCACAAATTGCCTAACAATTAACAGTAATCATATGACTTTCTGAAATGGATGTGATAAGGCTTAATACAAGTGCCACAACTTTTTTTTTTTGAAGATACATATGGGTAAGAATTTTATTCAATGAGTAAAAACCCCAGGATTTCTCTGATCTATTCTGTACATGTCCTAGAGATTTTAAACTGATATAATAAATAAAATGTCTTTTTATAAAAAAATTTTTTGTAGTTGTAGATGGACGGAATGCTTTTATTTTATTTATTTTTATGTGGTGCTGAGGCTGGAACCCAGTGCCGCACGCATGCTAGGCAAGTGCTCTGCCACTGAGTTACAGCCCCAGTCCTCAAGTGTCTTTAAAAAA